GGTGTTGGCACTGAAAGGTTTCCCCAGGGGTTGGTGTTGGCACTGAAAGGGCTCCCCAGGGGTTGGTGTTGGCACTGAAAGGTTTCCCCAGGGTTGGTGTTGGCACTGAGAATGCCAGAGCTCAGGGGGTGTTTGGACAAGGCTCTGTGGGCCAGGGTGGGATTTTGGGGTGTCTTGTGCAGGGCCAGGAGTGGGATGGATGATCGTGGTGGGTCCCTCCCAGCTCAGGATATTCCCTGGTTCTGGGATTCAGGCTTCTCCTGTTGGAACCACCCAAATGTGATGCCCGGCTCAGTTTGCAGCTCGAGGAGCTTTCCCAGTTTAGTGCCTGCAGAAGAAACATGAAATGTTAGTGTGGATAAAATCCAAACCACTGTCCTGTCTCCTACCCCACTGATTGGAAGGGAAGGAAGAAGAATAAAATTAATTAGTCTTAGGAATGGTACTTTTCCTGGGCTGATGCAGTGACTTTGGGAAGGACCCATTCATCACTTCATTGGCCTTGAGCCCAGCAATACCTGCTATTCATTCAAAAAAAATCACATTTAGTATAAAACTGTTATTAAGTGTTCTTGTGGCAATCAGTGGAGTGAAGGGAATGAAGTGGATCACGGAATATGTGTGAGTGACCCTGTGTGTGCACGTGGAAGTGCAAGGGGGCTGATTTCCCTGGATCAGTGGTGCTGCTGCCTCTCCAAGTGCTCTCACGTGTCTTTCTCTTGTGGATTCCAAAGCAGCTGCTTCCAAGGCTGCTCCAGGCTCAGCTCTGGCTGACACTGGGCCATCCTGCTCCTCTCACTGGTGTGTCCCAAAGCTCTCAGTACAAACTGCTGCTCTTCTGAACTCGGCACTGAGGGAGCAAAGAAAGAACTCAGCTGTCCAAGGATCCCCAGAGACAAAGGCAGGGCCTGAGGCCCAGGCAGCATTTCCAGTTTGTGCTGCCACTTCTTCAAAGCAGAGAAATTAAAACAGAATCCTTAAAATGTGCTTCTTTTTATTTAAGGGACTGTTGCCCACAGAGGTTGTGGACTCTCCATCCCGGGAAGTGTCCAGGGCCAGGTTGGAGCAACCTGGGCTGGTGGAAGGTGTCCCTGCCCATGGCAGGGAGCTGGATGTGCTTTAAGGTCTCTCCCAACCCAAACCATGCTGTGATATTTGAAAAGGCTTTTAAGCAGAAGGTTTGTTTCAAGTAAGAAACCCCAAGATCAGTGTTTCCTTTTAAATTGTCTGCGTTCTTTTAATTCTAGAAATGACTTTGTTTCCCAGTGTGTGAGGGCTGGTGAGGAACTCCAAGTGCTTTTTGCATTCCCTTCCCTGGGAAGAGGCTGGGAGGAGCTGTTGGCAGGCTGCAGCTGCTGCTCCATGTCCCTCAGCCCCACTCTCCAGCCCTGGAGCTCACCTGGGCTCTTCATCATGCTCATCCTCCTGGTTCTGGCTTTGCTGCCTCTCCAAGGCTGTCAGTGCCTCCCAAACCCCTTAGAGAAACCCTTCCCTGCTCCAGAGGGGAGCAGCAGTTCCTGTGCTTGTTGCCTTTGGAATATCCCTGCTCTGACAGTTCAACAGGCAGCCAGAGGGGATGACTCCAGAGCAGGGCTGGAGGACTTGGATGCAACTGCTGGAAAAAAACAATGATCCAGAAGAGCTGATGGAGTTTTTGTCTTTCTCAGGTCGTTTGAGCACTCCAGGGGAAGAAAGGCAAGGCTGCACTTCCCTCTGCTCTCAGAATCCAAACAGCAAAAGATTTCAGAGAGGGGGTTGAGGTGTAGGAAACCCTATGGATGAGCCCACCCCAGCTGGAGACAGGAGCTCTGTGCCAGCATTCCCTAGAGAACAATTCCTCAGTGAGAGCAGGAGCCTGGGGCTGCTCAGCTTTCATTTCAGGTCGTGTGAGGTGCTCCTGATGTCTCTGACACATTTCTGTCGTGCCTGGTACTCAGAGCAGCTCATTTTGCTGCTCCCAGACACCTCCAGGTTTAAGTGGGAATTGCTAAACCCTTTATTGGTTTTGAGCACAAAGTCTGATTCCAAATGGCTTCAAATTTTCAAGTCATTCCCCCCCAAAATTTCATCCTGCTCACTTTAATTTCCCAGGAGTTCTGAAAGGATAATTCTGATATTCCAAAAGTAATGTTGCTGCACATTTTCCTGTACTGCTCATATTTACCTGGAAGAGCCTGTGAGTTCCTAATGGTGCCAGGAACTTTTCCATATGTTGAAAGAGGTGACTACTTTGCTTTTATTTCCTGAAAAAACGTATTTCCCATCCATATAATGAATGGACTAAAGATAGATATAAGGAACTGTTTGTTTGCC